GAGGGGAGGGGAGGGGAGGGGTGGAAGGGACAATCAGAATTACGTTTGAAAAGGTAAACTAGATTTTTGCACTTTTAGCCTGCATTCACTGTGCATGTAATAATGAAAAAGAAATGATGAAATATAAAAGTATGAAATAGTGAAGAAAAACAAGCAGCATAAACAGGAATAGCAGAATGATAAAAGGGAAATGATAAAATGTAAAAGCATAAGGCAGTACAGAATATCAATCCGCATCGATAAAAATAGTAGTTATTATAATTATGTTCTCGTGAAACAAATGCGGAATGATCCCAAGCTTGAAAAAGCACGGGTTTAGGGGGGAGGGGAAGGGTAGTTAGAAAAAGTAATCCTTTAACAAAATCTAAACATGTTTTGACATCTGTTGATAGAATAATTTTGTATGGAAAAGGGAGGGGGGTGGTCAATAATAATATTGATAAAACTATACACTTTCTATGATGTAGCCAGTCTTGCACTTTAAAAAAAAAATCAATAATAGTTTTTAATTAAAAATACTATACTTTCTCTATAATGTAGCTTGTCTTGAATTTTTATTGTTAAAATTTTCAATAATAACTTATAATTGATAATACTAAACACTCTATGATGTAGCTAGTCTTGCATTCAAACAAGAAAATACGTCCATGATAATTTCAAATTGAAAATACTAGATTTTCTCTACGATGTAGCTATAGTTTTGTATTTTTAAAAACGCCAATTATAATTTTTATTGATGATACTATACTTACACTCTCTATGAAGTAGCTAGTCTTATAATAATATATTTAAAAAGTCAATGGTGATTTTAATTGATAATGCTATGTTCTGTTGTCTGCTTTCATTTCCACTTTCTGCCCCCCACCCCCTGACCTCCTTTGCCCCCTCCTCTGGGCTCCTGACTCTTTCTGCAGCCTTTCTACTGTTACTCCTTGGCTCCTCCTTACTGCTGTTTTTCTGCCACACCCCTGATCTTCTGGTAGGAAAGATCTACACCTAACCTTCTCGGACAAGGGCGAAAAATCTCGGAGGGCCGTGTGCAAGTTGCGCACGTTAAAGATCCCTTGGTGGTCTAAAATCGATAAGAGTAGGCTTCGGCCG